GTGAGAATTTGGCAGTTCCTTTTCTCTTTCGAAGTATAAAAAGTACTCGGAATCAGGAAAAAATCTATCAGTGGGTTCCAAGTTAGACCAGATGCTATTTCAAATGTGTGTGAAGGAAGACGAGGAGTATATCAGTTCTTAACTAAATTATGCATTTATCTCCAGTCGATTTTTTGGGTTTCGATGTGAAAAAGTGTAAGACAATGGGATTTATTTTCTGTATCATCTTTGAAGAACTAAGATATTCGCGATCGTTGATCGTGTTACTCGTAGACCCTTCAAATGATCATTACCCAGCTGTCAGCGATGCAAACGAGCCAACAACAAATCCATTGTAAGTTTCTATTCCAGCACAAACATGAAGCCATTGTGGAATAGAGTATTCTGCTGTACAGTATTGTACATGGTTTGGAGATGAAGAGCACGAAGATTGAATGATTGTGAAGGGTCGAACTGCGACTGAGAATCTCAAAAAGATGAAAGCAAAATCTAATTGCGTGCAAATTCAATTCGGAAAAATTATTCCTGATTTGCCTACGGATCCAAAATTTGTGTTCGGTTTTTTTTTTTTTTAGATTAGAAAAAACTTCGAGATCAATCGCGAAAGTTCTACTGCGTAGATGTGACGCCGAGCTGAAAATTGATGACGTGTAGTTCTTGGAACACTCTTATTACTTTGACAAGTTTTTGTGGTTTACCGGCCTTCAGGTGGAGCTTTTCAAGTGGCTGTCATTTATATCAGATAATTGTCGTAAATTGTGTTCAGTCATTCTGCTTTTGATGCCTGTATTTTCTCTCTCTCGGATAAGGTAGCTAACTTCTCTGTGAAAGTAGCTATTAATTTAAATCCAGGTCAAAATTCAATTTCGATCATTTTAAAGTGATATATGCTGAATGGTGGTATTTTCTTTCTGCAGACAAAGAAATAAGTGATGAGGAGAAGAAAATGATAATGCTGAGCGACGATTTCCAGCGATTCTTCAACAAAACATCTAGATACATTGAACGGGCATTGGCCGAAGATGTAGACATTTTAATGGACTACACGGGGATCATGGAACGCGATGGTGAAGCGTAAGTCAAATGTCCAACTGTATAGTTCGTGGATTTGCAATCTCGAATTGAGCGCA